GCCATCGCTGATTTTATGGTATTAAAACACTTTAAGTTAATACGTCTATATTGATACATCATTTGTCGTAATATGTATTTTTATATTTTATTAGTATCTATAGTTATATTCCGATACACCACATAGTTCTGTTTCTGTTCAACGTTAACCATACAATAATACGGTATATATGGTACACGTTACATGCACACATAATAGTTAAATATAATAGAAATAATATCTCATCCACAGATTAAATTTGATTATCGTTATTCTTTATAATTTTCTGAAAACGGGACAGTTTAATGTCCTGAAAATTTTCTTGGGGACAACGGAACGAAGATGAAAAACGGGACAGTCCCGTTCAAAACAGGACGTATGGTCATCTTATATTTAACCATCCCTACTAGCTCTACAGGCGATTATTTTTTCCATACAATTTACCATCACTGGATAATACTTTGCCCCATAAAGTTCGTTGAGGACACGAAGAATTTCTTGCTCATGTTCCAAGACATTTCGAACTTTGTTCTGTTAATCTCGTGACTTAATGTATCCCTATAAAAAAAAATCATACGGTGTCAAGTCGCAAGATCGAGGTAGGTAGTTTTGGCCCTGCAACGAGATTAGTCTGTCTGGGAACTTCTTACGCAGCAAAGGGATTATTTCTCTTGAAGTGTAACAAGTTTTCACCATACAAGAATACCTACTGAGCTCAGTAATTTTCTTTAGCCTTTTTTGGACTAAATGAACATCAAAAATGTTTGGTTTCAACTTGTCACATGTCAAGAAAAACAAACACTCTGCTGTGTGAGAAGTTCCTGGACAGACTAATATCGTTGCGTGGAGACCAAAGCTATCTACTTCGATCTTACGACTTGATGTCATGTAATTTTTTTCTTATGGGGATACAATAAGTCACGAGTTTAGAAATTCGTCATGTCTTCAACGAACTAGATAGAACAATGTGTGATCAAATGATGGTAAATTGTAAGGAAAGAATAATCGCCTGTAGGGCTATTAGGGAGGATTATATGCCTAATATTATTTTTCACTGTTAAACTTTAACTTCACCTGAAGAGAATGATATATTTGCTATGTTTTTTTTTAAAAGAAATAAATTTAATTTATAGCAGCTTTAACTCCTGCGTTCTTTTTGAGACACCCTATACTCGTATTTTGCTTTATTTTTTCCATATATTTTTGACATAATTCTTAATTTTTTATAATTTGGATAGTATTTAGTGTGATCCTCTATTATTTGTTTAAAAAGTATAATTCGTTGATTTTCTAATAATTATTAATTACAAATAACTTTAAATTTAAATATTATTGGTGTATTATATTTATAAACACACATACACATATGAGTACATTAATGTAATAGGTACCAGACAAAAACTAGTTAGTTTTTTAAAATGTTAACTAGAGAAATGGAAAATGTAAACATGTTTTATCTAATTTTAGATTACTCTCTACTACTCTTTCAATTTAAACTTTACCTAATATATATTGTTTTTAATTATTCTGAGTCTTATATAGTACAGTAGTATATAATTTGTTTAGTTAATGTTTAATAATTTTTATAATACTTAGTCAACTATCAATAAAGGGTATTTTTAGTCAAGAGAGAAAGAATCAAAAGGATGCCATTCCTTTTTGTTTATTAGTTTAGATTTTTCACCCTCTGTTATTTTTCAAAAATTATGTATTACTTTGAAAATTCGTAATTTAATTATAATCTATAAAGGGATTTTCGTTACAATATGATAGTAGTTTATTCGTGATTAGTATAATATTATAATTGATCAAAAATAAAAATATGTGTATGTTAAGTACACATTTTTAAGAGGAGAAAATATGTTGAGTGTTTAATTAAGAATTTTTGAATCATATGTATTTTAATCAGAAAAAACTATATGCTATTTAATCAATGGACATATTTACTTTTTATTTTATATCGTGTAGTAACAAAAAAATAAAAAAAAATGATTTATCATTTGTGATTATTTGGTGACTTGTATGCGACAGTGTTATATTTATAAGGTTAAAAATAAAAATAATACATCTTTGGAGTGGAAAAAATAAAACGATTGCCAAGAGACAGCTAACCATAAAATATAATATATAATAATGCTGAATAAATAATAATGAAGTATATATTCACACCATCGTTGTGTCGACCTCTCATGCTAGTGTAATGCCAACAACAATGTGTAAGTTGTGTCAATTTTGGTAATCTACCAGTGCGCAAACAGTATTTTAACTCCAAAATCATTGTGGTGGTGAAATCGTCCTCGAGGGTACAATTAGTTAACAAGTCGAATGGATCAGACTATTTTGCTGTCGTCGTCTCGACACTGCAGTACACTTAGTAATCCTCAACTATTATCACGGGAACCTTGAACATTCATGTCCGTACAATTCCAACAATATGTTGCTGACGTTTAGTTTTCACGGGCCCGACAGAAACGAGGTGCTAGAATATTACATCTATCTTTGATATTTATCTGTAATATACATTTAAATAAACATATTGATATAGTAGCACATGCAGAATTTTTGGTAGGTTATAGTTTTTACTATATATTAATAGAATTTAGAATTACAAATCATATAATTACCTAAATATCTCAAAATGCATTATTTTAACAAATAAGTTTTTACTTCACTGCGTTATCGGTAATGTAAGTAAAACGTATTGATATTGCAAGTGAAATGAAGCAAAGTGATCAAAGGTGGTTTAAAACTATATGTTACGAATTTATATCGAATTTTGTAAAAGCAAAGGCTATTGATAAGATACTTTATTTGTTTTTTACATTTTAAAGAGATTATGATTTATATTTTTCTATATAATCTCGACATGTGACATGGCCCTAAAATAATTAACCATTGAGAATATAACGGTTATATGTTCAAGTATTAAAATAAACGATCAAAAGAACTATTCTTTTGAGTTCTAAAAATATTTTATTGTATCTAATGCAAAAAGTAATAACTTAAAGTATAAACTTATAAATTGTAACGATAAAATGTTGTAAAAATATTGAAAATGCCTTTTTACATTGCACAGTCAGTATTATTTGTGAAATAAGTCAATTTAATAAAATGATGCTGTAATGATGGAACATTACATTACATTTACATTACATACATTACAACAATATGATGACTTTTCATTTGTGATTTTTTTTTTTTAATAAAATACTTGCACAAGTGAAAACGGCATCTGAATGGAAAATGTGATTGTATTCGCAATAACGTAACCTTTCGTGTATTTCGTATAGTGTTGGTAAAGCTTTAAACTGTTTAATTTTAACTCCGTTAATGGTTAAGACCATAACACATTTTACAGTTTATGCGGTATCTTTAATGGTCTCATGCCGTAATCGATAGCATCCTGCGAACGTTACAACGTGGATACTTCTTACTGTGTAATATATTTGGTTTTTTCCAATTGTTTTTTTTTCTTGTCTTCTTTTGTTTCTTTAAACCTTGTCCTGGGGGAGAGACGAGAGAAGAAAATCCGTTTGATATTTTGCCGCTTATGAGTATAACAAACGCGTATAGCAGAATAGACGCATATAAGTTGCCACCGACAACCTAAGGGGATTTAACTCGTAATTCGGTTGTGTGATATCACTCAGGTCCAAAAGACGTTTGAGACACGACTGTTCTCCACAGATTGTCAAAAATAATGGTAGAGTGTGTTCTGTAGGCGCATGGTAGTTTTACATGCTCTTATGTGTATCGCGAACGACACATTTCGATTGTAAAATACGTGTCAAGAGAGTTTCAGGGAAATGGAAATTATAATATTGTTTGCCGAAAATAAATCACCGCATCATTTGGATAGGCGGCTAAAACCTTGACGCGAGAGTTCGATACCAATTTTAAACTTCTTTATGCGGCTTCTGTTCCTATACTATAATCCCGTTAGGTTTTACAATTAAACCCATCACTGTCTGCACAAACCCTTTAGAATTTATTTCCACTGCGTATGTATTATACACGAGTATAATATTGTTTGCCTTTTTATTCGTTTTTGTTTCCTTCCGATCAACGTGATTGATATTGTTCCCGAGCTACTTACGCAGTCGAACACTGCGCAGCTATTCACATATCATGTATTTAACATAATATCATAGTGTACTGGGGTTAGTATGTAGTACTGTTAGTAGTACTGGGGCTCAGTATCTCGTGAAAACCTACTACCATAGAAAATTCTATAACCGTGTTATAACTTTAACATTGGCTATTTTAGCGTAACTATGGATAATTAGTCGCTAACTATGTACTATTATTTCATAAATTAAAAAATAAACTAAAATTCTTCTAAGTTATTGTGCTTAGTGTTTACGTATAAATCTCGATGCCCTATATTTTAATATATTCTTCGTGATTCACCGGTGTATACACGAAACTCAATCGTACCATTAAAGTTCATTACTTTAAGTTTTTAAAGTGAAACATATTGCGTAGGTATCGCATTCGTACGAGGTCATACGATATGTGCTTGTGTTTGAATATTTATATATGTAAAGGGGTCATAGTAATTGCAGATAAGATTCAACTGTTTGTGTTTTACCATCATCTGCAGTTGAAATTAGCAGGTTTAGTAAGTTTCATAGATTTACTTTAGACGTTATCATTACTTTTCAATATTTTTGTTCCGTATAATTATTGTAACATTGTGGTAGCTCCTGTGAACTTGTACTTCATGCGAATCTCGTGTTCAACAACAGTTGTATTAAAAGGATGGATCTAGTATTTTTTATATGGTTAAGTGATGAAAGCGTTGAGCAATTTTTTAAAACTTTGAATACATAAAAAAAAACAAAAACATATCGATCTTTAGTTTGAATGTTAAAAATACAAGTAGATGAACGGAAACAATGCATTCACGTTTGGTGCACTCAACAAGACTCAAGTTTTTATGTTTTAAACATAGATATATTTGTGCATAATTTTTTTAAACATATACAAAAACTTACATAATTTAAAGTTCTTATATTTACCTTTGCTAATGCTGTTCTTTGTGTTTCCGGGGTAACGATTTCGTCATATAGTTCGCAGCCGATAGTATAGTTTTTGCTTCGACCAAATCTTTTTGTGTCTAATATTAATACTGGACCATTGACGCCAATTATAGTGTTCTTGATGTCATCAGTTATCAGGTACCAACTAAACTGAATTTATTTATTTTTATCTATTTCGTAGTATTGTTTTGTATTTTGTTTTATACATACAAAATACAAAATTATACTACGAAAAATAGTTGTAAAAAAAAAAAAAATCTATTTTGTTTCATACATATATTTTTTTTCTTTTAATCTCGGTTTATAATTTTTATGGAAATAATGGGATTAAAACGGGACCCTAGGTATTATAAAACTGGGATAAGAAGCGTCCCGTTCAAAGTTTGTCGGGACCATGGGATATAATGATAAAAAAAGACAGTCCCATTTTAAACTGGAAATATGGTCAGGGCCGGCGAGAACTTCTGAGGGGTCCGGGGCTGCAATGGTTCCGGGCCCCCTTCCCTTTGCAATTGTTTGCAGGTATAGGCGTGTCAAGACTTTTTTCGTAGACGGTGCAACCCAAACCATAATAATTCTTATGAACTCAATAAGGTTGTCCGAGTATAGTTTAACTGGTCTTTCATTAAATGAGTATACTCAGGGATCGTACGCAAAAAATTAAACATTTCTAGGAATTTTTTTAAGAAATCTTTTAAACACTTCCTATTCGCTATCTTAACGTATCCGACGAGATATTTCATCTGGGCGACCATTATATCTTTAATCGTGATAGTGATATAGATAAATTATTACAGGATATCCGGGTTATTATATTCATATATATTATAACTAGAGCACGAATTTGTATGCCGTCAAAATCATGAAAATATGTAAGAAATATGCAGTCAACATCATGAAAATATGCAAAAAATATGCATGAATTTTTTATTTATTTAAAATTTATAATTCAACTTATAAAAATTAATTAATTAAATACTTAATACAAAAAAATGCAGGGAATTTTCTAAGCTTAATTTATTTTTAAAATTTTATTTATTATTAAAATAAATAATCATATGCATTTCAAGTTTATCTTCTGTGAAGCTGTGTCGTATATCGGTTATTAAAGACTGAAAACGAATCATCGATGTCAACCGAAGTTATTGGGGCATATTTGAAGCAAGTGGTATGTCAATGATCGACTGACACAACAAGAGCTATTAAGTTTACGTCGTAATCGATTATTTATTTTATAACTAAATATATATATATATAAATTATTATTTAATGACTATGAAATTTATTTTTAATTTTTCTACTTGACAAAATATTATTTTATACATTTTTTTTAAATTTTCACTTCAATATGCAATAAATTTTGAATTTTGCTAAGATATGCAATAACCTCTAAATATGCAGAAATATGCAAAAAAAAATTTCACCATTAGCTTCAAATTATGATGATTCGTGGAAATTACTGACAAAAATCCAAAAATATTGAAAGGAAAAAAATATGCGATTGCATAGAAATCCGCGCTCTAATTATAATAGATAATTATGCGGATTCGCGTTGGTTTTGCAAACAGTTGGTATTATATTCATATATATTATAACAGATAATTATGCGGATTCACGTTGGTTTTGCAAAAAGTTGGTATGGATTTACGGCAGAAGCCGCTTCATCTCGTGGAGGGTACAAATGTATACCTTGCCGTCCTCGTGGACACGCCTATGCTTGTAGGTACATGCTTTGGTACAACAAAAACATTGTATACTAGGTTGAATCGATGGTCCCCGGGGTTCTAGTCATCCCTGCGCCATCCTTTCACCGGCCCCACGTATGGTCACCCTATATTACACACTAATCGTATACTATGTATGATTTTATACTGATGAAAAAGAATATATACTTATGTTATTAAGATATTTGCTTTTTGCAAATAATATGGTAGTATAGGCAATAAACGAATTGATAGATTTCGCTTAATGTATCTAATTTGTCAATTAAAAAAAAAGTAGCAATATTTAAAAATTTGAAAATATGTAATAACAAAAAAAAAAAAATAAAAAATTAATCATCAGTGTAGTATATGAAGGTAATTTTAGTGTCTACTGAAGGTTATGACTTAGGTATGTATACAGTAGTAATAAGAATTTGTTGAATTTTTTCGACATAATTATATTTTAAAGCTCTTTTTTTAATGACAAAATATTATGAATATAATACCTAATATAATATAATATAATATAAGACAGAAATCATTAAAAAAATATACCCACAAATATAGAATAAAATGTCCTGAGTGATTTTAAAATTAAATTATATTGTATATATTACAATTTTCAAATTTAATATTAATCACGCGTATTAAAATATTAAATAAAAATTATCAAATAAATATTATACATTTATTATGCATTCACTGTCCAAAATAAGTTGTTTGTTAGACGTTGTCTACATTAAGAGAAAATTAAAAATTTCTTACCTAAATGTTGGATGTATCCATAAATGTCAAAACGTATCTATTGTTAATTGTAAAATATGCAAAGGAATATAAGATTACTTGTAAATTATTATAACTGTCTTCGGTCGGTTCACCGCAAGTTGGATACAACACAGTTTCAAAAACAGCTTCAGACCCAATAGTAGAAGTTGGGCTTGCCATTATTTGTAATTTCAGTTGGGATTTAACGCCGTTCGTTTCGATTAATTTGAACATCAGGTGACTCTTCGGGCCCGTTTGGTTCAAAATATTAGTGCCCGATACTTCCAAAGTGTATTCTACGTATGGCAACATCTGTCGGAACAAATAATTCCTTAAGTATCGATTAGACAAGATAACTGCTCAAGGCGTAATACAGTATAAATATGTCTATGTCTGTGTACTAATTACCAAAACGCTGTTTAAACAGACGCCGGCGGTGAAATCTTGTCGATTCATCATTATTACAAGACTTCTGACACTGTTTCTCACTAAAGAAGCGTGTTGTAAAGATTCGTCTATTGACACGTGTGCTGAATCCGAGAGGTCGTTGAAACTTAAAATTGAACTGTACTTGAGCATTAGAGAACCGCTTGTTGATACAAAAATGGTTTGTGACCCGGTACAATTATATACGGGTAGTCGGTTGAATTGTGAAGTTTCGAGGATGTCTTCATGGTGAGTATTGCAAAACTGTCGAGGCCCGTACAGCCAATACACTGGAGATGTGACCTAGTGTAATGTTGCGAATCGGATTATAGATCGTATACCATTGACAACATGATATCAGATAATAACATCATGTTGCGTGACAATTATTAATAAAACCGTGTATTATTTGAATATTTTAAAAAAAATGTATTCTTATATACTATTTATATAATGCGATAAAAGACAAAAATGAATTTTTTTTTTTAAGCTCTTCATTATATTTACGGTACAATTCGTTAAACGAACTATATTGTTTTATTGCATATTGCTACTGTTGTATAAGCGTAAGTATATATGATTTATCAGTGTTACACTTATAGAGCATCCAGCTATTTTTAGTCGAGATTAATATTACCTTTCAAATGAATAACTAAAGTAAACAAATCGAATGGTGCACATAATATATTGTAGTAAGTTATGCACGGACCTTCAAACGTAGCTTAATATATTCGGTGGTCGCTATGTTACTATGTGTATTTCTAATGTCTTAACAAACGTTAGTATAATACTCGTATGTAAGTGCCAAAGATGTAAACAAAGAAGACATTAACGTCAATGGTGATATTTCTGAAGTAATTGGACCTCCTAGGTGGTAGGCCTAGAATAAAGTCGTTAGTGGACGATAATTTCAACTAATAGTACGTTTATCGTCATTACACTTCCTAGGTAAAAATTAACGTTTTCAATCAATTTTAATTTTTCAGCCATTATTGAAAGGTCGATGCAATACTTTTTAAAACGTAGAAATGTAGTGATCATCAGTGAAATTCACGATTATAGAGTTATCACTATTATTATACTGTTAATATTATTTAAACGTAATTTAGATAGTCTTACGAGACTCGTAAATAAAGGCCACACACACTATCGATACATTTTTTGTATTCATTGATTGATATAATGAATCTACAAACTAAAACGATGTGCTCGAAGGGAATTTAATATTGACATTATACAATATACATAATAATAATTGCGATTTTAATAAATTGATAAATGAAAATAGGCCATAATTTTTTAATTAAAATTTAAAATTTTTTGTTATTTTATAATTCACCTATTATATTTATACCGAATAGGTAAGTACTTAGTGTGTACTCAAACGTCGAAACTGAAATACATATAAAATATATATATTAACTGTTACATAATAGTTATAATACAAATATTATATACCAAACTCAATACTCAGCCAAGTATAGAATAGTATAGTAGGATAGTAGTTTGTAAGTATAGTAAATATAGTATAGTAATAGTAAGTATAGTAATTTTTTTTTTCTACAAAATGTATTAATAATGTATTGGTAAATGAATACTGATATGAAGGCTAGTTGATTTTACAATTTGAATTAGGGATGGGCAAAAAACATCGATGTTTTAGTTTGCTATATCAATGTTTTGACATCGATGATTTGTTTTCGATTAATCGATTAAACATTGATGTTTATGTTCAAAGTGCAGTATACAACAATCGTTATAGAGTATACACTATACAAGGGATTCCCAATCTATTTTACATAACGGCACACTTGATTATTTTAAAAATTTCAATGGCACATTTAAATAATTAATAATGAATATACATAATGTCATAATTATATATAATATATATAATACAAATTGAATGTGACATCTGATGTTTTTTTTATATAATTCCACTATTAGGGGTGAAACCGTTGAAACGATACAAACTGCTAAGGACAATCAATATCAACATTGCACGTAAATACAAAACATAAATAATTATCAACATATTTACGTTTAACTTTTAAATTTAAGCTTTTATCACTTATTAAAGTTGATTGTTTAATATTAATTTCAATATTTAAATTGTTTTCATTTGCACTAACATCATTACCATCCATTAACTTACGCTTTTTTAAAAATCTATCCATTTTTAAATTTAACTTATAATATTTCTTAATCGAAATACCTATACAGTATAATGCGTAACAATTACACGCGCTCAATTTTCATTATAATGAGCACAGGCTATGTTTTTATATAGTCATTATATTATGTGGTAAAAATCAACGCAACTGCTTGTAATACCTGTATCGGGTAGTATCAGATCCTATATAATGTTATAGCTGTTTTATCAGGACATTTTATCATTTTTTATTTTCAAGGGAATTTCGAAGTCATTGCTATCATAAATATAAATTATAATTTTGATTATTATATTTTTAGCTATTCTCAGTGGCATAACTGGGAAAAAACCTAGAGGGGGCAATATAATATTTATTTATTTTAATTTATATATATTTATTATTACCAAAAACCTGACATCCCTTCCCTCAACATTTAAAACATATTTTTATTATATGTATTTTATACATTATATCTAATTGTTTGATTTTACCTAAGTCTTTTAACTCATTTTATGGTTTAGATGAACATAAATTGTAGGTAGTATGTACTAGGTACCAATATTGTTAAATAATATCCATAAGAGTTCATTAATAAAAGGTGCTATTTTTACTGTTAGATTATCTGGGGGGGGGGGCAAAATGATAACTTTATCCCTCAAAAAATTGTCAGAGGGGGCACTTGCCCCTCCCCCTTGCTCCCCATATCCTTAAAAAATTATAAAATTACAAAAATTATACGGTACACAAGTGTGCCGCGGCACATTGATTGGGAATTCCTCCACTTACAGTTATAATCAGGGTTCTTAAGTTTATGCACTAAAAAATGCATAAATAAGCATTCACTAACATTTGATAAAATATGCATTCAAATATCCATTAAAAATCCTTAACTATGTGCGAAAAAAATGTTTAAGCATTTTTTAAAATAACAAGAACTATCCATTCATATTTTTTCTTCGGGTACATTTTCTTAAAATTATAATTAATGAATACACGTTGCGACGAAAATAGATAGATTAATTTACTGTAATGTAAAAGTAAACTGTAAATTGGTAAAAAAGTTGTATAAAATAAAATCTATTTATAGCAGTTATTTATCTTATTTATCTGTTCAACGAAAAAAAAAAGATAACGATTATTTTTGTTAAACCCCCCCCCCCTCACCGAGCAAGATTGAATGTACGCCACTGACTATACGGATAATAAGGTGTGCAACAGATGATAACTCTGGAGTGAAAAAATGTTTTTCGATGTTTTATAACTTCGATGTTCTTTAACATTGATGGGTTTTCAGCGATACATCGAACACATCGATAATTTAAGAATCTATGTATCGATAAATCGAATATCGATGTTTCAAAATTTTGCTGATCACTAGTATGCATAGAGTCACATACTGATTATCGAAAACAAAATCATCCTTATTGTTGAAATTAGGAATGAGCAAAATTATTTGAACATCGACATTCGATGTATCGATACATTGATTTTTAAAATATAGATGTGTTCGATGTATCTATGAAAAAATCATCGATGTTAAAGAATATCGAAGTTTAAAAACATCGAAAAAAATGTTTTTCCCTCTAGAGCTGCCATTTGTTGCACATCTAATTATCTGTACAGATTATATATACTAATTATAGTACAGTGTACTATTTTCCTGATTAAATAATAAATTCAAGAGTTAAAATACTATTGTTTAACTTATATTTTTTAAATACATATTAAATACTTACAAGCACAACTCGTAAATTCAAATATTTGCATGAATTTCTTTGCTACATCGGAAAATATGTTGATATTTATATAATTTCTAAAGTTTAATAGAGCATGTTTTTGCGTATTTTGTGTACATTGGCATATTTGGTATATAGTTGATTTTTTTTGAGTTATCAGCGTATATTATTTTATGTAAATTCAGCAAAATCGTTTTTCGTGGAAGTAAAAAAAAATTAGATCAATAAATGTTTGAATTCATTCTTATTTACTTTTCCGAACTTGTTTATAAAATCTTAGTATTTTATCAATATTTTTATTTTTTTATGACATTAAGTTTTGTAAGATAAAAGCAATACCACGGAAACAATGTTATTGCGCATCACTACCACTCTTCTCCTATTGACGTGTCCATTGCAATCTATTTTCTTCACAACGTGTGTTCATTAACTATAATGTAACCGAAGAAAAAATATAACTTTTAAAAATATGAATGGATAATTCTTATTATTTTAAATAATGCTTATACATTTTTATTCGTACATACTTAAGGATTTTTATGCATATTCATGAATATTTGATCAAATGTTAGTGAATGCTTATTTATGCGTTTTTTAGTGTATGAAATTACGAGCCCTGATTATAACTGTATAGTGTATACTGTATAACGATTGTTGTATACTGCGTACTAAAGTAATACAAACAAAAAAAAATTCGAACATATTGAACATAAACAACGATGTTTAATCGATTAATCGAAAACAAATCATCAATGTCAAAAACATCGATATATTGAGCTAAAGCATCGATGTTTTTTGCCCATCCTTAATGCATACATATTATAATGAAGATCTCTTGAATTTTCTTCCTATATAAACGAGTTGCCTCCCATTTTCAACTGAGAAATATATTTTGTTACTGTTTTAGATGAACTGTAAAAAAGGCTTATAAAATCCTAGCCAGAGATGATAAGAGATAATATGAGTTTTCTATTTTAATTTTACTATTTTGGGTATTGTTATTTCAGAGGTGGACTAGTCAAAGAAGTTGAGAAATGTATCTTTATGGAACGGTGATAATTATCAAATTATGTGTCAGCCCAGAAGCATAAAAATATTATTGTAATTCATATTATATTACTTATATATAAATGTGGAATTGTTATGCATATTTTAATATTATACCAATAATACGGACTGATAATCATGTTTATTTACTCAATAGTACTCGTATTGTGATAGATATAATTAGATATGAGCAGTATTGTATAATATTGACCAAGGCCGGATTGGATCTATCAAAAGTTAATTTGCAGATATTAGTAAAAATTGTTGATTTCACTAGTTTTATAAAACTAAGGTTACTTTATAAACTATATGTTTTTACAAGTATGTTTATTAACAATTATAAAACGGTTAGATTATCAAATATCTATAAATACCGATAAACATATGGGCCTATAGATATTTGATAGTTATATTTATATTTTAGGAACACCTAATCCACTCTTGTGCTATTTTAGCATATGACATAGCAATAAGTGTAATATAAGCTAAATCTGTACATTGTTACGTACATTATGAACCAGTTTTACTTTTTGCTTTTTATGAACAGAATCTATTATAAGTATTATAAGTAATCTATTATAAATCGTAAATAGTTTAGAATTTTTATATCAATAATTATTGGGAAATAATATAAAACGTAGAATCTATTTCTCAGTTATTAATGTTTTATTATATTGTTAGTTATTAATGACAGTATTACAACAGCGTCACCTTAAACCAAGCCCACCCAAATTATCTTGCGGGCCACTTTGCAAATACATTACGAATCTGTGGGCAACATATAAAATTATATTTGTATTTTGCTGCAATACAAAAAAATTTGGAGTAAACATTTTAAACAGGATTAATAATTAATCCTAAAAAAAAATCCCATTAATTATTATTATTAAAGAATACATTTTGGTGTATTAATTATTTGAAATAAACAGAATGAATAATTATTGTTTTTATAACTATATTCTGAATCTAATTCTTTCAAGAATTGTCGATGCAGAAGTGTATGTGATTTAATGTAATTCACTGTTTTTATGATTACTAGAATAACATGGTTCATCGACAAATACTTGGGAACAAATATTTTGTTGATGAATCAAACAGTTTATTAATAATACGGACTCCGTGTTATGTGGGCATTCCAGAATATTTTATTGGGACAAAAATAAATTTTTTTTTTAAATGTTTGATAATCTCTCGGGCCGTAAACATTCCAAGGCGGGCCGTGGGTTGGCCATTCCTGCCTTAAACTAATACATTATTAAATACTGAAAAATCCTTTTTTTTTAATTTTCTTTGTTGTTTATTGAGTATTCATAATGTATACTATGTGTACAATGAGTAAATTGATATGAGAGTTGAAAATGATGGGACAGTAAAAAGGAATCTCACATTAGAGCTACATAAACAGCGATTTTAGATAATTTAAAATGTACAAGATTTTGAGAAGATTTATTGTTTAATACCAGATTATACTTTTTTATTATGCTCAACAAAATCTAAAGGCGTTTAGAAAATATTTTGCACTAAAGATTAATTTTATTGTTATATAAATGTCACATCAAGATCAAGTGGTGCATAAACGGTTCAACTTACGTATATAAATTAATATAATTACCTCAGAAGAAACTATAGGTATAATTATTTCATTATTCAACATCGATGAACTTAATTTAGGCCACGACCTGTAAGATCGTATATTATTGTTCGAAGAAAATTGAATAGTTAATTTGTTATCTTTGACAGTTTTTATATTTCCAAGAAGTACAGTTAAATAAGCCGATGAGAACCAACAAACAGCATCTAGGTATATACAATTAAATTAACGTAATGGTTGAACACAAAAATAATCATTTATCATTTATCATAATTATTATTGTTAAATTAATTTATGTACCGTAACCGATTTGAGTTGACGTATTTGGCGTAAATATGTCATTACATGAATTTGGCCCTTCTACATTCTGATCAAATTGAAACCAAATTGTTCTTAAATCTTTGGTAAACCCAGACTTTACTACTTTTGGATAATTGGCTTGAACTGTGACTACTTTGAAATTATTTGAGCTATGAAACGACACATATATTTTAGTCAATGACAATTTTTTCTTTCAGAATGTATTACCACAAAAAACGATTACTTTTTTTTTTTTTTTTACCACTATAAGAAATATTTCATATCATAAAATATGTATTTGCATAAATTCGTTTTATTTACATTTATATACATTTACCTTAACATAGCATTGATTGCGTCTATCGAGTACACAACTGTTATTTGATATTCAGTAGCTCTACTAAGTTTGTACTCGGGGCAAATTACCCACGTGGATAGTTTATTTCCATTTATAGAGTTTGTTGGCAAAACTATGTAATCTTCTCCGTCTGTTATATGGCACATTAAAGGGACAGGCTCGGTCAAGTTAAATATTTCCAATTTGAACTTAAAATTTAAAACAAAAAGTTTTATAAATAATAGTTTACAAAATGTAAGCCTATTTATATATTAAATTATAAACATTATTAGTTATATATTAGCATATTTTAAACTCCATATGCAATGTAAGCAATAATATTTCTGTTTTGTAGTTATATTTTTGTGTGAACACTTTATAGGGTACTTAAGAAAAGTAATTTTTAAACTAAGTTATCCCAAGCGTATTAAAAAACTTAAAAAATAACATGTCTATGGATAAGGTATACCGAGTAAAAGCGGAAAATATTGGATTTTTTCACTCAAATGCAATTTTTATAAAGTCTATGTGTGTTATTTAGTATTTTTCATAATAATATCCAAACTTTGCTTGGTATCACTTTTGGAGTATGGTTTATCAATACATTCGTAATTCGAATGCACTAGAAACTAATACTTTAAAATATTATGTATGTAATAATTGTTATAAGAATATTTTTTCTGAAAAAAAATAAGACTTGGAAAACTCAAATCATTAACTGCTATTTGTATAAACTTCAGAGGTAAAGAAAAAATTATTTTATTTTATCTGATATTGCTAAATTGTATTGTCAAGGTTATGAAGGTTTGCATTAAAGGAGAAGATCAGCATTGCGCATGGATAAGCTATTAAATTTATGTATATACTAATTCTAAGAAAATAAGTATAATGTTATAATATAATAATATACTCACTGAAACACTTTCCCCAAGTTTTATAGTACTTGGTTCTACATTTCCAACTATCAAATGTAGACTATTTACAAGTATGAAATTACCATCGAAGTTTATAAATGATCCAAATGTTGAACATTGAATCTTGAAAGCCCCTAAGAGCGTAGGAGTTTCGAAATGTGCCAAAACCGTAAGTGTATTACTCAGATTTAAATTAGTATTCTATAAAAATAACATAAACAACATAAAGTTTTAAAATTTAATTTAATAAATAATTTACTATTAATCTCAAATATTTTGAACAGATACTTTGAACTATTTGTGATACGAACAGGTAATTATTATATTTTATTATATATTTTACACGTAGGTATATATTTTTACGTTAGTTCAAAAGGTACACATTTCATTTGTATTATTAATTTCTAATTATTTAAGTAATTACAATTTTCTTGCATCATAACGACATTTCGTCTTAACAGTATTGCAATTAAATTTTTTTCTAAAGAGGCCGTTCTAATATTGTCATGTAGGCTTCTTTAAAATTCCACAACAGATTGTTTTTTCCCGTTCTACATTGCAATTATTGAATCTTATTGCGAGCATTACGAAATAAAAAAAACTAATTTAAATCACAAACCTACTGAATAATGCATTATAATATATTGTGATAAATATAGCGATTCGTTATAAATTAAATACTATTAAAATTGTTTTGAAAGAGGCTAATTTACATTTGTATACGTATGTGCAGAGAGGAATGCATAACAGTTTTGATACCATTTCAGTGGAATGTATTATAAGTTCATTTAATTTAATGCAAATTGGATGATTATAATATATTATTTTTTTAAAATATTGTAATTAAATATGTTAACATATTTTTCCTATTTCGGATGCATTCATGTTTTTAGTAATATGCTGACATTTTGGGCTCTTTGGCAGATCAAATACTTGTTCACAGTGTCACTGTTAAGAACGTATTGATTACTTGAGTGGTTTCTGACCTGCATTCATACTAATTGGCTTCACCCTTGTTATCTTTTGATAGCGGGGCTTTCTTTTTTTGTTTGTTTCTAACCCATTGGTCCGAAAGGTCAGACACTACTGAAGACATGGATACATCCAAAAATAGAAATATAATTATAAAATTAATTTACTGAAGCTTTTCTGGAGACGATTCAGAAAAATATTTATAATTAATTTTTAATTACTTCGTTAACTTAGTGATTTCTTACTAAATAAATCAATACGACCAAATACATAATTTCAGAGTTCATAAATTATAGTATTTATAATAATATAATTATTCAATAGCATAAATTCAAAGACACGAAAAAAAATACGTATAGTAAATATTAAATTTCTTACGATTATATATGGAACTTAACATGATGATAATTTATTTATTTATTTTAGATAAGCGGGCATAAGCCCAGCTTACAATTATGGTGTAATGCTGAAAACATAGTAAAAAATACTTATTATTAGTATGGAACATATAACAAGTGTAATAGATAGTAAATAACAAAATAAAATAAAATAATTAATTTATAATAATTCTATAGAAGTAATAACAGATGCTCACTGACTAACTTCATCATACGGGTAATGAGTTCGTTATTTAAATAATTAATAGGGCAATGTAGAATAAGAAAAGTATGTATGTATAGGGTACACTTAACAGGAAATTTAAAGTTAATTAGAGCAAGAAGGGAAAGAGAATCGACAGAGCTTGATAAGAGCTTATTAAGAAAAGCAAAATTATGAGATCAGCAACGGTCAGCTAAGGAAGATAAGTTTAGAATACGGCAAAGGGGAATATAGTCATGAGGGGCACAGTTTATATTCAAGACGTGTTTCATAAAGCATAAGAATTTACGCTTAACTCGTTCGAGTTATAGATAGGCATCAGCTGTTTGAGGATCCCATAAAAATGAGCCATATTCTACGATCGATCGTACAAGTGCCAAACACAAAAGAGATCGGCAGTGAGCTTAAAATCACCAGATATTTTTTTAACGAAACCCGATTAAAAAAAAATCTTTAGAGTTTTACAAGAAATTTTATCAATGTGGGCGCGAGGACAAAGATAGGAAGTAAAAGCGAAGCCAAGATCATAAATAATAACTAACAGAATCAAATTAGAGTCTTTCAAAGCGTAAGAGTGAGTAATAGGAAAGCGACTTCTGGTGAATGTCATTGTTCGGCATTATTTAGTATTTAATTATAAACCAAAAGTTTCAACCCAGGTAGAGAATTTGTTAAGATCGTCTTGGTTTTTAGGACAATCATTGACAGAGTTAAGGAAAATCTTCATGTCATCAGCAAAATAGAGAAGTTGACTATGCTTTAGGGAAGCGTGAGCACTGTTAACAAAGAGAATAGAAGTGGAGATAAATGTCTACCTTGGGGGATACTAAAGGTAGATAGGAATATATTAGATTTAGTGTTGAATATATTAACCTATTGCGATCTATTTAATAAAAATTTAGTGAACCTATATAGGATAGGATCACTGAATCCAAAAGCACGAAGTATAGAAATTAGAACCTCATAATTAACTAAATAAAATGCTTTAGCAAAATCAGTATAGATGACGTCAACTTGTGATCCAACTTTAAAAGAACAGAGTATGTAGTTTTAGAGGTAGAGGTTATAAGTAATTTTAGATCTGCCTGGGCAAGAACTATGCTGTTCGATCAAGGGATCTCCGACATAGGGACCAAGAGGATAGAAAATAATGTACCTTGTTTTATAGAGGAAATCACCAGGTATTTCATCGGGGCTTATAGAAGGCACATTTTTTAGACTAGCTTGAGGAGGACATTATTTGGGGTAAAGTTACAGTGGTTGGGTAAGTCAAAAAATAGTATCTCTAAGGGCTGAAGATTAAAAATAACTCATTTTGAAGAGTAAATAAAACAAAAATGTTTATCAAACAGATTTACTTTTTCCTATCTACAAGAACCATTGACATCATTTAAAGAAAAAATGTTTGGAACAGCGTTATGAGAACGATTCCTACGTATAAAATCCCAACAATTTTCGAAATTCAAAGATAAAAATTTTTCAGACTGTTTAACAAAGATTTAAGACTTTTTTTTTTATGTTTATTTTCTTTTTGTACAGAGTAAAGAAAATTTAAAATAATTAGCAGGGTCAAACTGATAGTAGATTTAAATTTTGCATGAGCTTTATTTTTTCTATAAACAAATGCTTTAAGCTCTTTGGATATCTAAGAGGAAAACTGGATTTATAGAAGTGGGACACAGGGACGAATCTCAATATTGAATTGTGAGTAAATCAAAAAGTATTAATCGCAGTATTTATATCAAGGTTGGATAGAGTATATATGTAGTATACGAGAAGAGTAGTATATGAATCAGGTGATACAAACGGTTCAAGAAATTTACGAACAACAATGGAATCGGTGTTACTATAAATTAGATCAATAATGGAACCCTTAAAGTTTAAAATGGAATTTTTTCGGTAGAGCCCATTGAAAACAAATAATTCAGGAACACAAGATATTCGAAGAGAGAAATATAAAGTATAAGTAAGGCCATGTGAATCATTAGACCAAGAAATATTAGGTAAGTTGTAATTTCCACAGAACAAGAGTGTGTGTTCTATATGATGTTGATAATGTATAATTAAACATATAGCTGCCCGTTGAGGAAACAATTTGAAAGATATGCAAAAATTGTGTTGAAAAAATGTTCAGAAAATATAAATACAGAACGAAAATTCTTGAAATTTGTAATAATTATTACCCTTGCTATACGTACTACTAGTTGATAAATAATAAATGTACAATAATATAGCAATTAAAATATTATACAATACAAGATATATTGTATTCCATGTAAATCAGAGTTTATTCATATCTATACATATTGTGTAAAACACAAATTATAATATAAACTTCTTATATGAATGCCGTCGGTTTATTTACGGGTAAAAGTAATTAATTTCATTTAAGATTTATTTATCAGGTAAACATATTAAACCACGTAAAATTCCTGATTTTCTTACTCAACACCTATTCTTGTATACATATTATTTTTACATTTAATATATTAATACTAAGATTAATAGTCAATTGTGTTGAAAAATTAATAAATATAATTATTTGTATTACTATGACTATTCGTGAATCCAAATCCATTACGTTACATGAAACCTTTTTTATCATATCCATTGTCGATACCAATCCTTTTATGCAAATCACTGTATCAATGTTGTTTTGTACGTCGTATATAAAAGGAGAGACATAAATTTCATCGGTGGATCTTGCAGGAAAAACTATGTGTATACATAAAAACATAATTATTATTTATTGATAAGTATAAATCTATAAAAAAAAAAAATAAGCGTTTTATAACTATGTAATGGCATAAATACATTTTTTAAACATTTTAAGTATATAAATTACAATTTTTAAATAATATGTATTTTTTGTTATTAATTTACTCACTTGATAATATTGAAATAATAATCACAAACGATAAATTTACAGTCATTTTTAAACAGACAATCTCCACTTGTATATGTTGTAAATGGACATTTTACACTATCAGTCAAAGGCAAACGTACTTACCTACCTGCTATAATTATGTTAAGCAATGTGTTCATTCATAGTTGTCATGGAAATAATAGTGTCAATAAACATTAAATGCAATTGATTATATATGAAAATTGTATTATACGATTATGTTATCGTACTTTAAAAATATTATTTTAATACTAAATCTACATCAAGTATCATCACATTTATAAGATAAATATTTATTTAGTGATATTACTAGAATTTATGTTCTTAATATACTAATACATTTTTAATAAATATACAAGGTATAATAACAGTTAGACATTTCCATATGAATTTTCTTGATGTAGAAGTTTCTTTGATTTTGTTTGTATATATTTTTATACAAGGCACTTTCGTTTTATTTATATATTATTTAATAAATTTTATTTTTAATTATAGAAGGTCAATTTTATGTGTTTAAAAAAACAAGAACAAAAATAAATTACTATATTGTGACGTATTAATTTAATTGTATGAATCATACTGAGCGCTATTGATAAATGTACAGTTTTGATTCAATTGTGAATAGCTAATATACAATTTTAATTAATAGTAGTATAAAATATGAAAAAAAATCTATTTATACTATTTATTTTATACATAAGATAATTAAAATTAAAATATTTACTTTTTCTTTGCGTATAATTGGTTGTTGTTATTGATTATGATAATATTTGTATTAAAATAAAGAACATATTTTTAGAGCATTATCCTGATAACGAATTACGAAATTGATGTGCCATTTTTATTGAAATATAATGTGTAGTTGAAAATAGCACGTAATAGCTTACAATGTATTGAGAAGTAAGGTTGTGTTTTAAATGAATATGTAAAAGCATCTCATTTTACGCGTTAAGATATATAACCAGACCAATTAAAACAACTAACCGAGAAAAATTTGACCTCCTTTAATTCAATCTAAAATTATTTTAGCACTTATTTATCTATTTATTTTAGACGTAAGTACAAAAATTAAATATAATCACAATATTATCGTTATTTTTAACATTAAACACCGATTTTTTCGGTAAATTTTTTTGTATTTATCAAGAAAATAATGTAAGACAAAGTATAATGAGTATGTAGTTTATATTTAGATGTAATAAAACGTTGGTAATTTGTGAAAAATGTATTTTTATTTATACATATATTAGTTTATGATAATCCTAGGGTTGTAAAATTCCACGAAATATATAATTTGAGTGAAAAATAAAAATTTTGTTTCTTTTCAGTAAAAATATAATGCTTTATGTTTTATTTTTTATGTATTACTTTTTGTATTATTAATTGTACTAAATAGAAATAAAAACTAGTTTATATAAATTAACAATTAACACCATATTAGTTTATAGTTATTATAATTTATAAATATTGATTTAAAAAGTAAGAGACCAATAGACATTGAAACACCTGAAGAAATTTTACAAAATATAGATGAATTTATAAATAAGTTTCCAGTAGTCCCATTACTTATCTACTATCATATTATTGCAGAAGTTTCTCATCAAAAAAATATATTGGTACCTAGTGAGTTTAAAAGTTAAGCACATATTTATAAAATGTATTGTGAATATTGTGAAACACACAATATTTTACCAGCATCTGGAAATGTTTTTAAAAAGCACAATATTGAATTTTATTTATATACAAATAATAAATAAAATAAATATATATATGTATAAAAGATAATAAACATAATGTAATTAAATAAATCTAATTTAACAAAAAATAAAAATTAGCTCCTTTGCATAGTTAAACAAATCACTTATCAGTATAAAATGTAAAATTATAATAATTAGCTATTAGGTAAATATACATTTTTAAATACTATACTATTGAAAGTATGGAAATTAAAATTAAAATGACTGAATTCATATAATATAAATATATTATTTAAAGATAACAATATAATAAAATTAAAATAAGCTCCTTTACATAGTTAAAACAATTCATAAATTAGGGAAGTATAATGTTCTCATTAATATACTCAAGAAAGTATGGAAATTAAAATTTAGATGGCTGAAGACACTTCAGAAAATTTGACTAGTAACATGTAAATAAATCACAGGCGATTAGAACTTTTACTTATTAGATAAATATTATTATAAAAATAGCTGTTATCAATAATAATGCGCCGGTTTTGTCGTTACTACATATATATATATATATATATTAATATTAAATATATCCGTGGGCGTTACCTATTTATAGGCAGCTGATAGACTATACCACGTTAAATGGGAAACCCCAACATTGTACCGAAACGATATCATACAATATCAACTGATTAAATGACATTTGACAGTCATCTAAAAAAAAATATTTTTCAATATTTCATTGAAATATTTCATAAAGCAGGAAATTTTCAATATGAAATATTTCACATGAAATATTTCAAATTTACAACCCTAATAATCACTATTATAGTCAACCATACATCATATACGAATCATGTTTATTCATTAAATATAGGATAAATTAATAAAAGAACCTAAACTATATTTTGTGAGTTTCTATGAGAAACGATACATCATTTATATTCTATAACTGACTACCTACATAGTTTAAATAGAATTAAAACAATTCTAACTATACGTAACATTTAATCATATTATAGTAACTTAGATATAACTCGAGTAAAGGTTTCTCGAAAGTAAAAACTTTTAAAAATCACCTTAGAAATTTTAATTCTAAATTAATGTTACATAAACACAACATAATATAATCAGAAACTGCAATTATAGGCATCAATTGGCAGTCAAAAACTCAAAATAGGATTGTATATTATATATATTTAAATCTAAAAGGTATATTAGTTAGTTAATTAGTAAATAATAAATTATTTAAAAAATAAAGGCTTAATTTTCATTAGAATAAGACCCCGTATAAAAAAGACTCTTAGTTTGTATGTATAAATATATATATACAACTTGATTATTTTTTAAGGTAATACTAAATAATTCTGTGTAGTGACATTAAATTGAAGTGGAGTGTTTTTAAATAGTTTGGGATTCTAATGAAATAAATTTTTTTTTTTTATAATCTTCAAATGTTCAACCATTTTATTGTAAGTATGCGCAATACAAATTGCATTTTTTTAAATAGCAATATTTATTTTCTACAACAGGTTTGGACAGACCGATTTTATGGAGAATGATGGGGTTAAATTTTGAACATTTTATTAGATAATTATTGAAAATTATTTTAAATAAATAATAGATATATTTAAATTAAGAAAAATTGTGTTACTTTGTTTAATTTTTCATATTAGATTACAACTAGCATTTATTTTACAGGCGTACCTAATTGAAGTTAATTTATTTTTAAAATTAAATTTATATGATTGATAATATCTACAAACTTATGAATACAATAAAAATACGTAAAATTGCATAATAATTCATACAATTCTAGGATGATTGTTGAATAATTCAATAATTTTAATTTAAATTTTATATCGTTGTTATTCGGTCAGTTTTGGTTTTAGAGATATGGTATAAAAGATCAAATTGATTTAAAAATATTTGGTCTATTTAAATCCATTGTTGATAGTAGGTGTTGCTATTTCAAAAATTGTTTATTATATTGCGCATACACTCAATAAAATGGTTAAACATTTGAAAATTATAAAAATATGTGTATTTCAACAGTCTCTAACTATTTAAAAACACCCCACTTCAATCCAATATCACTAGACAGAATTATTTAGTGTTACCTTTATAAGGAATCACACTGTATTTGTATCATATCATTAATTAAATACTTAATACGATTTCATATAATTTGTTTAGTAAATTATACATTTTAGGAAATTACTTCAATTTGTATGTCTGTACACTTCTGTACCTCTTGGATCACGAAAATATAGTTATTGGTTGATTTGGGTATGTTTTAATCGAAATAAATTGTTTTTATATAATTACTTAAGTTCGAAAATTGAAAATTATGAGTGATTATTATATCTTAATATATATTAAGATATGTCCAATATAAATAGTAAAAAATTATATGGCTCATTGTTTATGAATATTTTAAGACCATCAATATTAAATGAATGTATATTGAGTACATCGATTAATAGACATTATAAATACGGTGGAACAATTTTTTTTTATGAATGGCATTACTTTTTAGCTAAATATATATATTATCAATAAATAATCATTTTCAAATAACAGCGTAGTAGTACATGCATCATTGCATAAATATTATATCTATCAGTGTACACAAAACGAAATGCGATTCATTGTATTATTTTTTATATATTTGACTTATGTATAGACCTTTGCCCACATTTACTCATTAGATTAGTCTCAATACTAAAGCTGATAATCTCGCAGAGTTATACATATATTGATATAGAAAACGAAATAATTGATAAAAACGAGTATATAGTTTCGGAATGATAAAAATTACATTGTAAATCAATTGATAAATTTCAAAGAAAGATTAAATAATTATTCTCAATATAATTTTTTTACTGTAACATAGGTAATCATTTTATTTTTATTTATCCATTTTATATTATGACCTCGTTGCTTATAACAATTATATCAATCGTTAGTTATAGGGGGATTGGTAACTTGAGGTTAAAAGTAATATAAAAGCATTTTTACTTATTTTGGGAAAGTCAATATTCTACCATTTGTAAAATTGAATAGAGAGGAGAGATCATAATCCATATTAAACACATATACGAACTCATATAAAATGTGTATATTATTATTTATTGCACGAGGAATAGTTTACAAATACATTTACACGCAGATTTAAAGTTGTTGTAGATACATCAAATAAAGAAAAAATTGCCACATATATATTAAAATAGAAAACAAGTCATAACATTTATTTTTAGACTTATGATGAATTGAAAATAATTATAATTAATTTAAAATAGAATATTAAATTTTTCTTTTTGAGCTTATAGTATATATGTCATGAAGTCGGTCAATGATTAATTATATTAAGTTGAATATTAAATCCATCGTAACTATGGCTATTTTTACAAATTATTTTTATACCAAAGCGTCATATTTGTTATAATTTGTAAAACATAATTATTTTTAAAGGTTTGAAGCTCGTATAGTAATCAAAAAATTGTACACCCACAAATACATTCAGTTTTTGTCGGAGTTATTAAGGTGTGGACAATACATGTATATAATACATATGATTTTATTAACAACGCTGGATAATCGTCGTATTGTATTTGGGACACACTCTTGTTATAATTATTTCAATCAAATGAACGACTGTCGGTGTCAGTTTATATACACCAAAGGTCAAACGGGAACAATAAACCAGTAACACCGAGCTCTATGTTATAAAATAACAATAAAAGCCACTCCTGGTAAAGTTAACGTCATCGATATAATCAGCTCATTGGTCATTGACTGATATGGTGACTTGCAATTTCATAGTTTAGCATATTTTATCTATTATATAGTTTTGCTATACTAATACATATCGTATGTAGTTAGGTGTATTAGTTATTTTCAGTAATAATCAAACGATGTGCGGTTAATTTGTTACGGTAATCTACTTATTAATGATCTTTTACTTTTTATACTTATGTTTAATTGTTATAACCTTTGTTTAATAACAGTTCTCTGTTCCCAGTTTTCTAAGTTTTATTTGAATCACTGATTGGAGTCATCGTTTATCATAGATTGTTAATAAAGATATGAAACTAATAAATCACGTGCGTTTTCCAATCTCTTACTGCACAATTTTAAACCAACTGACATCAACGGAATAATTAAAAAAATTCAGGTGAATTTGTAACTTAACCGCAAAGCATAAGTGCCAATATAATATATGAAAATTGTACGATGTAAAACTTGTCGAGATACTATACATAAATACACATTTATGTTAGGTTGGGAGGACTTGGGATGATTAAAGTCTCCCGGCATTTAATACAATTCGCGTGAAGATCAAGAAATCAAAAACAACAAGTTTTTATATAAAAAATGATCACACGAGAAAATTACATAGAAACTACGTCAAGGTTTGAGTTATGAAAATGTACTATAATGCAAAACTAAAATATAATATTTATTTTTACGTCAATAAACTTGAATTGCCTTTGTACGATAATACGGACGTGCGTCGTTAATACTTATGTATACTCGTATGTTAATTAATAAAGTTGGTAGTAACATTTTAACGTAAATAACGGTATCATTGTTTATCTGAATATTTAGTACATTTATTATTACATACAGGATGATTTTATTCTAACTGGTTTTATTTAAAATAATTCGATACATTAGTGGAAGTTATTATTTATCACTATTTTTTTGATTATGATTAATAATATTTATCATCGAATTATTTTATTTTAAAGTTGTTTCTTTTTCAGTAACATGTATTTTTAATTTCATGATCTAAAACAGAATATTTTTTTGAAAATTTTGATACATGAAAATGGAATAGTCATCGAATTATTGCGGGATAGCTCGGAAAACAATACTTGATATTCATCTAATATTTATACGTTTTAAATTACCAATGAAAAGTTTACTACTGATTCGATATTCGATTCTTATAAGTGTAAACCGAAACAATTTCCTTTTAGAATATTTGAAATTAAAAACACGATACATCAAAAATACATCAACAAATTGAAAAAATTAAACCGTTTGATAAGAACAAATTTTTTTCGCCAGCACGTTCCACAGCGCTGACTGTAAAATTAGAAAAAGGTATTATCTGAAAATTTTTGACCACTGAATAATAAATTTCTCCCATCGTTTTATAAACATAATTAAATAATATAACATTTATTTTTTATTTCCAAACACATGAAAACGAGCGGGCGTTAAAAATTATCATCCTATACAACATAGGTAGTGATAGGTAGTGCATACTACATTGATATTGTTAATAGTCATTAAAACGAGCTTCCGAGATAAGGTAGTGACTCAAATGTTCCGGTGTTGTACACTCATACACACACCGATACAGACGTACACACGCGCGCGTAAACACCAACACACACGTTCATAATAATAATAATAATGATTAATAATAAAAAATTCCGCCAGTCGTCGGCGGCGGTGGTCTGCTACGAACGTGTACGGTTACTCAGGTATAGGTTAGTACCCGGTGCAGTGTACGCTATCGCTACGTGTCGGACAACGCGCATAAACGTGTTCGCGAAGCGTGGCCGGACGAACGCGCTCGCTGCCGTTGTTGCTGCTACGAGTATAGGAAATATTCCAGTTGGTCACCGCCACCGGGCCGGAAAACCGCGTATGGACGCGCGGCGGTGACGACGCGACGCGACGGCTCGACCGGAAACCGCGAGTGGAAGGACGTGAGGAGGACCTCGGGGACGCGGGGACGATGAACGCCGGGCTCGTGGTGGCCGCCGCGGTTCTGGTGCTGTTGCAGCCGGCCCTGCGCGCGGACGGCACCGAGGCCAACGTGGACGTGGGCCGCGGCGTGGACGTGCTCCAGCGGTTCGGCATCATCGGCGACGTGCTGTTCGGCGACGCGCTGTTCGGCGACGTGTCCAACGCCGAGGACACGCGCACCCACGACGTGTTCAACGACGCCGACCGTTTCACGTGAGTAACAGACGACGTGTACGTACGCGCACGGTTTAATATTCACCGGACGGTCACGCACGCGCCTGTGTGTGTACCGGAATCGACGACGGTCGGGACGACAAACACCACAGCGGGCCCGTCCCGGAAGCGACGAGGACGTTTCATTAGAAAGCTACGTCCGCGGTTCGTACCGGAGCTAACCTAAACCGCGTGACCGCTAACACGGGGAGTCTCGGGAAAGACGTACGGTCAAATAAATAAATCTGAAGGAAAAATCGATCACGGTTCGGATTCTACGTCTCTGTTTGAAAATGAAAGTAAAATTAGTGTTACGTCACCGAAAACGAAAAAAATCATGATATTTAAACCGAAACGTGAATGGGAATCTTTTTTATGACGAACGGTGAAGATAAGTCCTGGTGCCAGTGGTTCAATTAATTAGTTAGGTTAATCTAACCTATCGAAAGATTGTTAGCGGATGGTTCTGAGATTAGCGTATTTTGCGTTCTCGACGAACTTAATCTACCGCCGGTATCTGATAGTACATTATTACCAAGACGATTATTTCAATTAGGCAATATTCAAAATGTTTTCAAAATCCTTCGGGTTGGTTAACTCGCCATCCCATGTTGTATACACATTTTATGTCTACTTTAGAGTTATGAGAGAGTTGTGTTTCAAAACTTTTGATGCGCCGTCACTGCCGAGGACAATTGCTTTGTTGATAATTCAATTTCAAATAGCGTGTAAACGAAATTTGTGCGTACCGCAGTAACATTATGGCACAAGGAAAACATTGTTTTACATGATTTCACGAGTTCGCATTTTTAACATCTCATCCGTATATTTTATACTAACTATATCGGTCAAATAGAAGTAGTATTAGTTATGTGCTTTTGTTGTGTATAATTTAATAGATAATTGAACAAGAACATCTGAAAAAACAATGGCTAAGTGAATATCTTACGATTTACTAGGTGTATTTTCGAAAAAATTACATCAAATTGCTAAATCAGCTTCAGTTTAAGCTGGCGTTCGTTATATTCGTTATTCTATACAAACGTTCAGTTGAACTCGCCTCTATTGTTATAAATGTTATCATCATACCATGTATAATAACCTCTAAAGGATAAGGCATATATTTACATAATATATCTTTACGAAAATGAGAGTTCAACGTTAACGACATTGCCCTGTACACATAATGTTCGTATAATATTTATACTTTATTTAATTTAAGAGTTGTATTGTTTTTCTTAAAAAAATTTAAACAAACGATTTCATAAAAATCATAAACATTTATTTGATGTATATGTATGGTACAAAAAAGTTAAAACGTAGTTAAATCAGAATTCAGAATTATGCAATATATAGGTACACACCTCACGCGCACACGTGAATTTACGTCATTACTGATTTGTTTTTCCAAATAATTTTCTTTATTATTCCTAACCATTAAGTATTGTCTTGTAATGATTCTATGCTTAAAAACTTTTTCGATCTTGCGAGTCAAACTTTCAAAAATGTAATCAGCGTCAAATCCGTTGGATCATTTATAATTGTCATTACTTTTAAAACACATTATATATTATATTAAGTATAGTTCCATAAATTAGTAGTTTTAAAATTTAAAACACGTACTGTGTTGTTTCAATGATGATATATAATACAATTTTTAATGAATAGAGTGAACTAAAATGCGTTTATATTGTATTTTAATTTATATATGAAGGGGAGATACTCTAAAAACAAACGTAATTATCTCAAAATAATATCTCACTCATAAGATTGTATGTATTATTAACATATATTTATTAGAACATGTTCAAACAATAGTGACGTAGGTACTGAAAATTATAATCTTAAAGCATATTATTTAAAAATATTCCTCTACAGAGTTGTGCACGTGCGCTTTTGTATTTAACTAAATATATTGTGCTTCACGTATCATCAACTATAAATTGATGGACATAAGCGACAGCACTTATTTAAATTTTTTTTTATCATTTGTTACTTAATTTTCCAGCTAATTTTTATTTATATACGGCTGTGAAACAGAATTATTTTTTTGAAGGGATTGAAAATTTCAGTATCATGTTAAAGTTTTTAGTTGCACGTTCAAACTTTGAATATAACTGTAAATCATAACTTCACCTATACATCGATATCGTTTATCGAATTCAAAATTATTTAATGTTATCCTAATATTAGTACGTATAAAAAACTGTGTATATACTTTAAATTTATTGTTTTTGACAAACACATACATAATAAATAAATGTCATATTTTAATTAAAATATAAAATTATTATCACAAATTAATTAATAGTCTTTTTAAGTTTTTTTACTCATCATGGAAGTTAACCTCCTCCATTTGTATAAGTACGTCACTGCTAAGAATCGGATGATTTTGCAACAGTTAATCATAAATAAATAATACAATAATATTTTTGTCTATATTAAATTGACAAACAAATAGTTTATTTATAGAAATTAATAAATTAATATATAAATACTTAACTTGGAGTAATATTATATTTATAATGTACGATTGGTTTTAAATTAAAAATTCATCGATAGATATATACAAAGTCAATAAAATCGAGACTGATTTATTTAATTTATTGACTTTGAATAAACTTGATGATGCATTTTTAATTCGAAATCGGTCATACTTTATAAATACATATAATAGTACTCCAGGCTAAGCATTTATTTATTTCAATATATAAACTATTTATTTTTTTATTTCTATATTATTTTTCAAGTATTAACCGTTTAATGATTTTTAATTGATTTAAATTTAATTTAATGTCTTATTATTTTATTATTTGTTAATACGTTAGGTAATAAATATTTTGTATGGACATATACCTAATCAAACTTTTCGATAATAATTGAAATTTTAAAACAATTTTAAATGCAAATTAATAATTTAATATATATTGATTTTATAAGTTTTTGATTGTTGTATTAGAAAGTAATATCAGAAATTGAAGAATGTTTGTATAATATGTATTTAAAACGAGTAAAATCAAAACAGAAAATAGGAAAATTTTAATGGCTACAAATAGTTTCTTTTAAATGTAGTAAAAAAGGAATTAGTAAAAAAATATAATTAAATTTATTTATTATTATATTACTATGAATTAATTTTAATTTTATTAAATAAGTAAGCATAAAGAATGATTTTTGGACTAATACCTATATATATATATATTGTACCTATATTCTCGTAAATATTATATGTATGATTAGAGAATAAATAATAGTGTTAAATATTATTTAAACATTAACAAACAAGTTATATCTAATTGGATTTTAACAAAACATTACTATTAATAATCAACCTTAATAAATAATGTTCGTGTACTTTTGTCACTGATTATTTATGATTTAAAAATTAAATTCATATCATATTTTATTTTCTGATATTTATAGTTTTCAATGGGTTATTTATTCAATTTTGCATTAAAGTCTATCAAATATATGATGTATTTTTTAAATATATTTATCATAGCTTTAATGATCCATATTTATTTATACAAACTTCAACAAACGTTTAACATCCTTTTAATTATTTATTTCATTTTTAATGTATATGGTTTCATGAATGGTTTAATTGATGGTTAATTTGTCACAATATGTAGTACAAATAGTTTTAACGCACCTTGTGTAGTAAAAACAGCCTGCAAGTCTATAATATTCATTATTTGATACAATAAATTAATTGCAACTTATTATAATTACATGAAACGTAGTTAAATTAAATAATTAGTATTTTAATATTTTTGTTATCAATGATTTCGGGGATTTTTAATAATGTTATAGAACCAATATATCTTGTATGGAAAATATTTTATATACAAATATTATTATTAAAATAATACAAAGTACCACATATGTAAATAGTAATAAAAGTATGTTAAGCATTTAGTAATGCTCGTATATAGAATTGGTGCATTATTGGTAATTAAATAGATATTCAATGGATGTAGAATATATTAAATTACATAATTCTTTTAGTATCTTCCAGCAATAAAAAATAACTAGGTCAATTTCCGTAGATTAGAAAACAAATGTACATGGTAAATCATCAATATAGTGTATTTCTGCGTTATGATGTTAATTTATTAATTAAACTATTTTATCTTGACATTTATAAAAAAAAAAAAATAAAAAAAGTGTTAAACTTATTTGATAAGTTATCTAAAAATGATTTGAAGTTTTGGAAATCAATCCAAGTAAATATTACACGTAAAGACAATTTTATAAATTTAATTATAGTTTCAAATCGAGTTACAAGTCGAAAAAAATAAAAACAAAACTGACATTTCCACATAAAATACGACTGTCATAACAATAGATGTTTGATTGGACTTTTAGGTGGATGGGTGAACTTTAGCTATATCTTTTGAGTTGTAAGAAAATACGAACATGATACGTATTAGTGAAAGTGGTGGGACAATATTACGTTATATATATAATACGAATATTTTGATATGAAAGAAAATACTTGCTTTACAGTCATTCAATAATTAGACACTATTAGAATATTCATGTAAGTTGTAATACTAACAAATTGTAACTATATTAATTAGTAACAGTGTAAATATGTAATGAGGACTTCTTAGAAGCTTCAAAAGACTTGAATCAATTTGCACTGAGGATTATATCGTTAATGTTCTTAATATTATCCGTATTTATAACAATTAATTAGAATAAAACTGTTGATTGTAATAAACTATAAGATTTATTTTAATAATTGATTTTTTTTTTTTTATAACTATAAATTAATCGTTTGTTATTGTTTTTTTTTTTTTTTTTTTTTTTATAGTGAAGTCTTCAACATGACCAAAAACCACACAAATTTATTAAACCTCACATTTTGCCCCGATCTAGACTGTCTGTTCAACGTTTATTTCGATGGTTTTCAAGTTGAGCTTTCCGACACACCATGGAAATTGTTGACAACAAGCAGACAGTCACATTTTATATCTGAACGGTTTGGCGTACCAGAAATGGCAATGGAACTTGGACAGAAATTCGTAATTGTCTCTTATAAGCGACCGGTAAAACGTATCAAAATGATCGGTAATCTTACACAACTCGCGGAACTTAAGCCAACAATGATCGAAAAATTAAAATGTACATCTATTGGTATTGAATCTATGGTGACAGATTTTATCACTGAATTCGGTTCACATTACATTGATGAATATACAATAGGAGACAGTATTTTTCAGGTAAACAGTTAAACGAATACATTTCTTATCTAAAATAAGTATTACAATATCAATTTAATCATGCGTGCGTGTGATGAGTATTAGAGTGCGTACGCGCGTGTGTGTGTATGTTGTGTGTGCGCCCATGTATTATCATTAATTATCATTGCACATTTAATTCTCAAATATTTTTTACTTAAACTAATACAAATTACACTGTTGTATAACCATCGGATGATAAAAAAGTGTTGCAATAAACTATACATGAAATTCCTGTAGAATTAATTAAAAACTTCCTATTATTTGAATAATGTAAATTTAATTTACGTATAATACAATTAAAATAAAATCAAAAATGATAATAAATGCAATTAGGATCTATTATATGAGTATATTAAATATGAAATTATACAATTACATAAATATTTTAGTAAAAATTATTTTCAAACAATTGTTATTTAGGAAAGTACTCAAAAAGTAAAATATATGGTGAATGCCTGAAAAATAAAACATAATTCATCATAATTTACCAGTAAACATTCACTATCGATATTTGATAAAATCATCAAAACAGATCCGTCATTTGGTTTGGTATTTAATTTTTAAATTCTACACGAATCATGAAACCGATATCAAAAATATTTTACAACCGTATTTGAAAACGGGACTTTTAGTTAACTTTGCCATTATTTTATCCGTCATTTTATGTCCAAAATAATATTGGGCCCAAGGGTTTGTCTTTTATTTCGTAAATCGAGTTTTTTATATAGATTTAAAAGCAACGGTAAATTGTTGCATTTGAAAAATAATTTTAAGATAAGGATTGTACGATATATTCATTGGTCTTAAAGAACCCAAACTAAAACGAAACAAATAAACAAATTGTATTTGCTTTTATTCAATGTACAAATTGTTAAACGAAAAAGGGTTAACTTAACCCAGGTTCGACGAAAGTTTATGATTAGGTTAGTGTACCTAACCGAGAATTCATAATAACGTATAATATTGTAATAAAAACGTGCGATACGATAGCGGTTTAAAACACGTTTACTTGGGTTTGTAATGAAACGGAATTTCCTTGTATATTTAACGTCATGTGCGATTGCGATTTGTTCACTGCTCGCGAAATTATCAATAATTTCCGTATACGATGTGATCGTTTTTACGTTGCAGGTGCTGGTTTACCTACCAGTGTTTTACAACAGGTTCTACAACAGTTGTGTACTCAACAATTGTTCGGAGTCGGATACGGTTAAATGGTTGTCGCCGATGTACACCGAATACCAGGGCCAGGTGATGTGGGTGGGTTCGAAAGACGCCGTGGACAAGTGGATAAATTCCAATTTGCAGTTGGATTCTCAGTTGGGTGACACTTACATCAGTCTGTACGCGTTGAAAAACCGTCCTGACCTATGTAACGAACTCGTTGCGCTCATGGACGATCGCGCGGTGGTCGGGGTGCACCTGAAGATCATATCGACGTTCATCGCTGATCCCGTGAAACGCAAATGGTTCCGGGAAGTACTGGACAATCATGTTAAACTCCGTGAAGTTAATCTATGACGAGCCGTCGTTTTCGTCACTCCGCGACCTGAATACGTCATTGTTGCAATATAAATCTATGTGTACCTAAAGGGAAGGGGACATTAGTCCGGATAACCTTAGGAGATGACGGAGATACAAAAAATCGAAAATTATTTTTACTTGAGCGAATAGTTTATTATTATACATGATTTAAACAGAGTATGGTTTAATTTTGTGTTAAAATATGCCCTTGATAATAAGCGTGTGTGAAATGTCAACTGTTTTCGCTTTTTCATGACAATATCGTCAAGTGTAAACCTTAAGTTAATCATTATTGCATATATAAATATACTTATAAGTCAATTTAGTATCTGATGTCGAGTGTAAATTTATATTTTAAGTTTTTCAGGTAATTTTTTTAATATTAATGATTAGATATTAGCTATAGTGAAAAGTATCCACGAGGATCATTAACTAATTACATTATGCCCCACGATAGTAAAAAAATTGAAATCAAGTGTTTATAATACGTAATAAATATACGACGTAATAAATAAGGATAATACATTTAATTTTAACGAAATTCGAATATAGGATGTATTCCAATTAGCGAATCCTTATGGAAAATTCCATGTACATATAATCATTTTAAACTGTGCTTGATTAATACAAAAGTTATAATAATAATCAGTATTTTTATTTGTATTTTCTACTATATACATTATATTATTTTATATTTACTCATTAAAAGTATATTATAAGTATTTACATTTTTGTAGTTATTATTCAAAATGCATGTAATATATTCAGTATAATTATATATTTAATAACTAAAAGACTATTTTTATTTGCAGTTTATATAAGTATTATAGTAGGTATATTATAAGTAGTAATATAAACTACAATAGCAGTACAACATATGTTCAAGTCCAAGTGTTTTACGTTAGTAAGAATGTTTTCAAAGTTATCATTACAATAAGAACCACAGAAAATACTCGACCCTTGACCGATCTATCAGAAGAAATTCAGAATCATGTTTTAATATGCGTACAAAGATCATGTGTAAGATACTGGCTCAGACTAAAAAGAAAGAAATGATAATGACGTTTCTGTGCAAAATTTCTTGTATCAAATGATTTGAATCCGTTAATAGTTCGAAACATAATCGATCATTTTTAAGAGGCTTACTTCATGTCAAGCGCGCCCGCAAGATAAAATCCTACCCAGGGTAAAATTTAAATTATAAGGGCCAAAACAACGTGTTCCTAAAAATAGATGAGAACAAAATCAAATACCATAGAATTCGGTACTTGGGAGAACTTATAGTTTTAAGCGATATGCAGTCATGTGTAAACATTGTAAACTAATAAATACGTTCAAAAATTTTAGATTACCTATCAAAATATGTAATAAATTTTACTAAACTTCATAAATGGATCTCAATAAAATGGGCTGCATCCAAATTGCATACAAAAAAAAAAAAAAATGTCCGAATTGCTTGCCAGGTCTAGAGGGTTCTGTCCGAATTGCATGCCACGTCTTACAGGGGTCTGTCCGAATTGCGTGCCACGTCTCAGAGATGTATGTCCGAATTTGCATGCCGGTTCGATTTTAGCAATTTTTTTTTATTATTTATTTTTAATATTCTGGGATGCTGTATTTTATCAATCCATTTTCACTATCATTTTGACATTAGTTATACCTTTCTTATTTATAATAGGTAATATTTCTGAAATTATATCATACAATTTTAAAGTTAATCGTCTATACAAGCGATTTCCAAAGTGTATTCCGTGGAATCTAAGGGTTCCGTGGAACAATCTTGAGGGGTTCCTCGAGATGTACCTGAACATTGAGAACAGTAATTGTAGTTAACAATAATCATAAACAATCTTTAAAACATTTTTTAGATTATTGGTTTTTCAACAATAAAAATAAATGTAAATACAAATAATTACAGATTTTGTGTTAATTTGGTGCTAGAGTCATTGGGGTTCCACGAAACAAAAAATAATTGTTAAGGTTTCTGTGGTTGTAAAAGTTTGGGAACCGCTGGTCTATACTATTCTATATCTATAGTCAATATCTTATTGGTATAATAATATTGTTATCTGGTATTGGACATTATTAAATGTTTATACATACGTACGTTTACGTATACCTATAGGTTAAAAATTAAATTTTAAAAATTTCTAAAAAAAAGCTAAATGCTAAATTGCCCAAACACATTGCAATTTTTAAAAATTCCAATTTATGTTTATTTTTTTTGGCATGCAATTCGGACGCATTGATAAAATTATGTAATAATTAATACATCTTAAATTAACAATAGTTTTGAAATAAAAATTCCCAGTAGGGGTAATTGTCCCTTTGCCCCCCCCTTGCGATAATTAATTAATTATTAATTTTTTTTTTTAATATTCATTTTATAATTAAAATCCGTAATTTATGTTCTCAATATTCTATATTTACAGTTATTATTTTTGGTGTTCATCAATTACACCAATTTTGGGACACTACTTGTATAATATACATCTTTTGCGCCTATATAAAAAAGGAATACTAAAAAAAGTATTCGTCAATTGCCCTAGAAAATTTTGAACCACCTAACTGAAAAGACACAGAGATAAAAGACAAGTTCTTTACTAGAAAATTTATAATTTTGGTAAATAATCATTTCTTTACCACGTTCACTAAAAACTATTTCTATTATAAATTTGAGCACGAGCCACGACGACTATACGTTCAACGTGTGAATTTATACAAAACAATACCACGAATTTATTTTTCAAACATATAATATTTTTCCGTCTTTAAATTATAAAATAATGGTTTACAAACGTACATACGAGCACAACAACGTAAACCCATTTATTACCAAATGTACAATACTGCTAATTTATAAGTTTTAAAATCAGTGGTAATACATGTAGCATTATACATGTTTTTATGTGTAGTAGGAATCGTTGGCGCGATTGACATACAACCATTATATTACATTCAATATCGATCGGCGCAGTTGATACATACCCATTATTTCCATCTTATTTTTTACAACATTAAGTACACTCTTTGCTCTAATGGGCGTTAATAAATAAATAAATAAAATAGAATGAAAATTATGCGGGTCGACTAGTACCAATTATCAGTATCAATTAAACTGCATGTACACCTATTGTGCCTGAAAAGCAGTTCTAACATTTTTTTTTTAATGGTCAAGGAGACAATCTTGAATACATTTTTCTCATGGTAATTGCAGTGGTAAAAATAGCGTTATTTTCAGTCTTTGAATATTTATTATTCAAAATACTTATTGTTCTAAAAGCGTATTGTTGTCAAAAAGAAAAATTATCGTGTTTATTAATTATTTATAAATTCTAATTCAAATTTAAAAATGTTCCAAGTAGAAAATGTGTGATTGATGTTAAATTAATTTAACTCGTTCACGTAGAAATATTGGTTAGTATGATATGCATATTATTTATTATATTTACGTTCAATATTAATTGTAGCTTTTATACTGTTATTATAAAATATATTTCAAATAGTTTATTAAATTCATCACATTATATTATTATAATTTATAATTTTTATATATTATATTTAATGTTATGTATAATTGTTTATAGAAAAATATAATTATTTACATTTTTCAAATTATTATTACTATTTTTATATTTAAAATGGAGTCTAATCCAATATTGTCGCGGTTATACGAACCGGAAATACTAACATTAATTTTTTTTTCTAAACCGGAACTGTAATAAATAAATAATATCAGGCAAAGAAGTAATAAAGGAAATAGCGGTAGCAGGCAGTCGTTTTAACATTGAATAAAAATATAATAATAGTAACATTGTAATCATATTATAACATCAATTAGGTATTTAATGTTTATTATTGTATAATATAAAGCAGCATGATGAATAAGGGTCTAGTTATACTTCGGCGGCACAGTTGGTTTCACTGCCGATAAGAATTTAATTTATTTTTACTTTTATCACCAATAGTTTATTTATAATTATATATTTTAAATTACGGAAGAAATTTAAAACACATATTTCGCTGGAAAAACTTGAGTTGGGTAATTAAGATAACAACAAGATAAAATCAACCGTGGACCCAATTCACGAATTATCAAATGTGATCATGGACCCAATTTAAGTATTATTAAATAACACCGTGGACCCAACTCGTGTTTTTTTTAAGCAATCAAATATCTCAGGACCCAACTTAAGAGTTCCCGAAAAATATATATTGCACGAAATGTGTCACATTTTAGTGGTCTCATCGCGATCTACAGGACTTGTATCATTCAGAATGACTGAAAATATATATATATATGTATAACTTAAACTTAAACAACAAAAGTATATTCTTATACTGATTAAATTTTTTTATTTTTTTTAAGAGAGAAAGAGAGAGAAAGAGATTGTAGGCCTTTAATCGGTTAAAAAAAAAACCAAAATAGTGGGAAAAAATCTTGACGACGAAGAAATATCGGAGAGCGATAGAGATTGATAGTGTAAAAAAGCTAGGTGTATTATAGTTATAAAAACCTAAGATCAAGACATAAGGTTTTGCCTAAAGCAAATCAAAATATGTACATAATAAGTTTTCCCTAGGATGTATTAATGAAGCAGTTTTTATCTTTTTTTGCTATTTGTTATTAAATTAGTGTTCGAAATTACTGAACGTATATCACTGGGAATAAAGATAAAATCTTCTTCATAAACGTATCTAGAATGACTGGAAAAGTGTTCATGATTAATCTTTTGCTCATTTCATTTTTTTTTTCAGAATAAAAAGAACTATGAGGTCTGGAGGTTGTTAAACTTATATTGCTATAATAAATTATGATGTCAAATTATGCAGCCTGCGTGTTGCCCCAACAGCTATATGTGACTTGTTATCGAGTTAACTCAAGCAGAAACCTTTATATTTTCGATTTTAGTAGTCAGATCATGCGTTGAATTTTTATCGAATAAAGTCCCTTTCTAATTATTCTTGAACAATTTCAGACAAATTAGTATCATTTAATTAATATATACTATAATGGGGCTAAAAAGTATTAAAGTTTATAATGTTTTTACTAATTTCTTGTACTTATTTTATTAGTTTGAAGATTGGTGTTTTTTGTAGTTAAAATAACTCATAAGGTATATATTTTTAATTTGATACACGTATATTTAGTACAAGATATGAACATACAAGTATGTACTCCTTGGCCATTCTCACAATATTATGATAATTTAACTGGAATTTTTTGTACACACACAATATATGAAAATAATTATAATGTATTAAATTTATTTATTAGAATAATTAAAATGTCATGATGATATTATATTACATAAGATAATAATTCGGATTGAAATATACTATATTATACTTTTATGTGAAAATATAGGTGTAAAATATTAATATAGGTATTATATTTTTATTTGAATTGTTTATCATTTTTACTGCAAATAGCAACTGTAGTTAGTTTTCAAATTAATCATTTCTTAAATGAAAATTGTTGACTTGAAAAAAAATATTAATTTTTTGCATATTTTTGAATCAAACGCGTTTATAGAAAAGCATTAAATATGTTAAAATAAATTAAGTTAAAAAATATACAAATATTACTCTTTCTCTAAATTATTGAACTGAAGCTGAATAACTGAGTAAGTTAAATGCAATGT